GCCCCAGAGCTCTGAATATGGTTTCCCTGATGCCACTGACTGAACTGTATGTATGGAAAAACCAATTCACCTTGATGCTTGTGCCTTTCCAGGCATGTTGGTGGGTGAGAGTTTCCTTTTTCCCTTACAGATTAATTCCAAAAGCAACAGTACTCAGTGGTCCCTATGGGTCCCATTCAACTCAGGATACTCTGCGATTCCCTCATTAGATACCTGTCCCTGTAATCCATAAGATGCAACACTTTCAGAAGTAATGCGAAGTTCTACTGATCTTGCCAAAGAAATATTCTTCTGATTGAAGCGGTTGCTGTTTTAATTAAAAGCATTTTTGCTGTAGCCATTTCAACACATCCATTTTTACAGAAAGACACCCAAAGAACACAGAAACACTTGACATTATTGCCCCTGCACCCTCACCTCATGCATCCCACTTATTTGCATGTCTTTAATTGCACCATCAGCATTTTGCATGTGCTCCCACCTCCTTGCACACAGGATGAGCACTTCATTCGCTGAGCGTGTATTCAGTATTGCCAGTATGTCAGAGGCCTTATCTCCTGCCTGCTGCCCAAACACTGCTCTGAATGAAGGATTTTTCATTTCCTTCAGGCTCTTCTCTACTGTTTGTCACTACCTGAGCTCTTCACAACATTAATTACGCTGACAAGTCGAGGCAGCAGCATTATCTCCACTTCACACCCAGGGAACTGAGGCAGGGAAGGTAAAGTCAGACCCGAAGCTGGACAGAAACTTCAAAAGGAGCATTTTAGTCCCAATAAAAATTAAATTAAAAAAAACAAAAAAACAAAAAACAAAAAACAAAAAGCATCACCTCTGAGAGAGAACACGTGAAGAACTGAAAAGAATGCACAGAATCAGAGGGAAGAGCTGATTCAGGCATGGGAAATACCATGTTCCTATTTAGCAAAGAGATGCAATGTGACTAAAGATGATCAGAGGGCTGGAACATCTCCCTATAAAGACAGGCTGAGGGAGCTGGGCTTGTTCAGCCTGGAGAAAAGAAAGATGTGGGGTGATCTCATTGCAGCCTTCAAGTACCTAAAGGGAACCTACAAACAGGAGGGGAGTCAACTCTTTGATAGGGTAGATAGCAGCAGGACAAGGAGAAATGGTTTTAAGTTGAGGCAGGGAAGATTTAGGGTGGATGTCAGGGGGAAATTCTTTACAGAGAGAGCGGTGAGGTGCTGGAACAGCTGCCCAGAGAGGCTGTGGATGCCCCGTCCATCCCTGGAGGTGTTCAAGGCCAGATTGGATGGGGCCCTGGGCAGCCTGGTCTAGCATTAAATGTGGAGGTTGGTGGCCCCGCATGTGGCAGGGGGGTTGGAGATTCATGATCCTTGAGGTCCCTTGCAACACAAGCCATTCTATGACAATATGATAAAGGGAGTTTGGGTTGGGTTTGATTTTCCCCCACATTTTTTCAGCTGCTCAATGTTAATACAAACTATCTGAGACCATTACCAGGTACAGTTCTGTCCCTTCTTGGTGCAGTGAGTGTGCATTCAAAAAGTTCTCAAACAAATGAATTTAATAGAGCTAAAAAAAAAAAAAAAAAAGCATCACCCAAATGATGGATAAAGGTAGTTGGCTATGTGTTTGTGCAGGCAACAGAGGTATTTCAGGATGCTCTGCTGGCTGCGTGCTTTCTTGACAGGGCAGCTGTCCTCCATTTTGTCCAGGTGAGTATCTGGGTCTGATCTTTCGGAAATACAGACTCTAAGGGTAATTTATAGACTTAATTATGACAAAATATAAAGGCAAAAGCCTTTAAGAACACTCACAGAAAATGATGGTTTAAGAACTCATAAATTGCCAAAGGTGTCATAACAATTTTTCTGTAAATACTTCCATCATTCCATCCTTAACCTTCTTCTTTCCCAGCTATAAACCTACGATTAAAAAGTAGCGAGTTACTGATTACAAAAATAAGTCTCAACTAAATCCCTTCACAGCATGTCAAGCGTGCAAATATTTTAACAGCTAATGGCAAATTCCACAGCAATACAAATATATGTATTAATTTCAATCATTCAGGGCAGGGAGGTATGAGTAAGGGCGCTATCATCCGGGGCCGTAATTAATCATCGTGGACATTTCATTGCCAGTGAACATAAATCAAGAAGCAAGAATTCCTCCTATCTGAGTGATATGTAACCAGCATTAACGCAGTGACAAAATCTAATGCTTGTCAGGAGCCGGTACATATTTTATCTACCTTTGACACCTGAGATGCAGGACTGTTTCACATGAGCGCCCTCCATCACCGCATTTATTTTCTGGATGTAGAGCACATCCTTTAGAAGTATTACCAGAATATAACAGCAAGGCTCAGAAAAGAGGATGCCAGCAGCTGGGATATAAAGTTTCCAGAAGTAGAAGGGAAAAAAATAATAACCTTATAGGGCAATACGATTCAGGCATGATAGATAAATAAGCTAGGACAGTTGCAGGACAGCGCAAGGCAATTCCCAAATTGTCAAACAGTAGCTTAAGTCCATGTGTACCTCTGTTAAATAACCAATAAGAGAAGCAAGCTGACTTTATGTCCCAAACCTTAAATGCTACAGGATGATGGGAACTGGAAGCTTTGGGTCTGAGCCCTGCTGGGAAGGAACACAGCTCTTGGCCTCACCTTCAGCCGTGAGCTTTCCTGGAGATGTTTCTGGCTGGGATCAGAAACTCCATCCTGAGGCAGAGAGCTGATGTCTACCAGAAAACCACATACTTCAACACTTCCTTAAGTCCTTTTGCCTCAGCCCGTGTTTCTCATTAAGGACATCTTCAAGAGGATGGCAAACCCTCTCTTGGGTTGCAGAGTTGGGAAGATGCTGGAGGAGCACAGCTCTGCCTGGAGCCACACGGTGGGCATTTGAGTCACTGTCAAATGACAGCCCACCTCTTGCCTGCTGTAAGCCACAGTCACGTGAGAAAATGGAATGTAAGCTACGCAAACTTCAGAACTCCTCTCCTTCATAACCTTCGTTAAGGTGTAAGTTAAGGTGCATCTGTTCTTAATATTTGCTCAGAGCTACCACAGCCAGACTAGAACACATCTGCTCCAGGTGTCCATGCACAACCAAGCTTATGAGAGATCTGCATCTGAAGAGACATAAACCTCACAGCTTTTCTGAAACTCGTTCAAAAGCTTAACTATTTGGAAAAAGTCTCGTTAGACCCTGGAAATGACAGCCAGTGTCATGATTTCTGGGACAGCTCTTTGCCTTGGCAAGCACGATGGGGATGGGTAGGGGTTGGACTTGATCTTAGCAGTCAGACTCGATCTTAGAGGTCCTGTCCAACAGTAATGATTCAGTGATCTCCAGCTAAGACAGCACACTTTATCACCTACCACCAACAATACCATTTTTATCAGCATAAAAACAATTTAGGTATTACTCTGACCCACATTAGGAGCTGGACCAGGTGTCGGGCTGTCACTTCAGGTAGAACACCAACAGGCAGCCCTATGGGCAGAAGCAGGCATCTCAATACAAGTCAGACATGCGAGATTTCTGAAGGACCACGCTGAGCACAGCCAAACCTCTCTGCTCTCAACTTGTAAAACACAGCCCTGAGCACTGCTCATCACCTGAGATCAAGAACTGCTCCGGGATTGCAAAGACAGCACTAATCCTTCAGCCTCAGAGCAGTGCAGATCTCTCAGACTTCAGTGCTGCTGATAACAGCTCAGACTGTAACAGCCCTTCACCCACTGGTTCTCCAACTATTTCATCTTTTTTTCATCTGAACTCAAAACTAAATACGTTAATCACAATCTCTTGCTGAAAAAAATATATATATATATTTCATATTTAATCACTCAGTTATATCAACAACATGTAGAGCAGAAAAATAGACAAACAGCTGTGTGACTAACAGCAACATAAGCCCCAAGGAAGAATTCAGCCCATCTGCAGGAACTACAAAGTCAGGTCTGAGCTAATCCATTTGCAAAACACTCAGCACACGACACACGCACTAAGCTTTCCATGGAAGCATTCTACTCCGAAGCACAATTTACATTTTAATTCGTATTGTACAGAGTCAAATACAAAAAATAAGTGTCAAGGTTTTTCTTTGCTGAGTTGTTTCTTAATTAGATCTAAGCGTTTAGTCGAACCATTTCAAATTCTCACTGCTTTCTGAAAACAGCGAAGAAGAAATCTTTAATTATTCATGGCACCCATTCACTGGAAGTGCCTTGGATTGCTTCCGTTAAGGAAACAGCAGCAGATTGCTGACACCCATCTGCTGGGATGCAGGGGCTGCACAGGAGCACACACAGCTACCAGATGGCTGCAACAACACCCAGCACAAACACGTTGCATTCTGGATGCCACCCCAGTGCAGATGAAGCAGGACCCCCCATCGGGGCACCACGGGGATGGAAGAGGCCCACAGCTGTTTTCCACTTCTTCCACCAACCCTGCAGCTGTGGGCTCACAGGCTACTCGGGGACAGCAGAGCTGCTCCTCAGGGAGCCAGGCAGCTCACAGCCTGGTGTGGTGCTGGTGACTCTGCTCTCAACAGGGGGGTTGAAACTAGATGATCTTTGAGGTTCTTTTCAGCCCAGAGCATTCTATGATTCCTTGGGGAGCTGCTCCTTGTACAAGCCACCAGGAATCAGGACCTTCTTGCAGGGTGGGTTGGGGGCAGGTGTCTGTATTATCCTTTCTCACCACAGCCTGTTGCATGCACATCTTGAACAAGTAAATATTTTAAGCAATACAGAGCCCCTTTCAATCTCAAGCACTGCCTTGCTTTAGCAAAAGGCAGAGGAGGAACAAAGTTAGGTAACTAACTTCATCACAGCAGATGTAAAAATACAAGTAAGTAATAAGATTTCATTCAGGAGCCACACATCCCCAACAGCTTCACTTGGAATTTGCTAACAATAACAAGGCAGCACAACTCGAATTCCTTTGTCCCCAACCCAGCAATAGCACTACAGATGAACAGGAACAGAGCATTGTACTCACCTAGCTCAGGCACAGCTACAAACTACTGCAAACCAGACACGCTAAGATCTCCCACACAAATCAGGTTAATTTTTAATTCAGAAAAAACACCTCCCTGCACCTGGCTTTCATATCCTATTATGTTTCTAGAAGAATTTAAGACCACATAGCTTTAGCCAACCTGCCCTGCCAAGCACAGGCTGCTGTAATCCCATCCCAGCTGATACCAATACACAGAGAAATTTGACTCATCACATCTTGTTACAGTTAAATGTGCTGCTAATTCGTGAGATATTTTGCCTGGCCTGTCAAATTAACTGACTTCCATGTTCTTTCTTCTTTTTAGCATAACTAATTCAAAATCATTTATTCCACTTCATTAAAACTAAAAGTTGATCTGAAAAACAGTAGCTGGTGTGAGATTGAGCATCACCTTCCCACCAAAGCAGGCAGTGCCAGCCCAAATCAGAATGACATTCATTTCTAAACAGTCATCACCTTCGTATGGAAGTATTTTCCAGCTGGTTTGCATGCATTCTTTTCTTGTTCTCATTTCTCATCTGGAAATGCCTCTCTGAATTAAATGCTTACATTTAGCCTGGGTGAGATAAAAGTACCCCATTGGGTGTGTGCTGGTGCACCCTCAGCAGTCACCTCTGAAAACCCACAAGGGTTTTTCACCTGTGCAAGGAAAACACAAGGCACTGCTTAGAAAGAACAGGGACCAAAGGCAGTGGAATGCAGCATATTGGCTCTGGGACATTACATCACTGCCACTCAGCCTCTGTTCTGCCTCCCCAGGAACACCCAGCTAAGGAGCCTCCAGCTAAAACAAGGCATGAGCTGCACCTGATGTGACTTTGTTAAGAAGAAATTCCATAGGGCCCAGCTGCCTTCATCCTGCAGCCAGGCACTGGCATGAGGGGACAGGGCAAGGATAAAGGCTTTGATTCTGTGCTGTGGGTGAGAGCAGAGCCCCATTCTCAGGATGCACACGCAGCAGTAATGAGCAGCTCACTGCCAGCACCACCAAAACGAGCCCACCAGGTTTGCACAGCACCTGGTACTGCTCCAAATTTTCACTGGCAATTTGGTTGATGGGATGGAGCACACATCAAACTTCCTGTTGGCAGCAGGCTAAGAGAGACTACAAATATGCTGAAAGACAAGATCAGAATTCAAAGTGACCTTGCCAAACATCAAAAACAGCCTAAAGGGAAAGAGAAGAAAGAAACATGAAAGGAATAAAATTTAATCAAAACAAGTGCAAAATTCTCCTCTTAGCTTCTCATAAAATAGAAATATAGAATGAGGGGCGTGAGAACAAGGCTACGCAGCAGTGCTGCTCAGAATGGCCTGGGATCAGAATAGGGCACAAACCAGACAGAATTCGACAACACTGTGCAATGGGGTTGGAAGGGATCTGTGGGTATCATTGAACCTCCCAGGGCAGAGCAGAGGGAAGGAGCACCTCCCTGCCCTGCTGGCCCCACTCTGTGCCATCAGCCTCCTTGCCCACAGGGACACACTGCTGGCTCCTGGCGAACTGATGGTCAACCAAGAGCTCCATGTCCATCTCTGCAGATCACCTTTCCAGCAGCTCAGCCCCAACTGGTACTGATACACACGGTTATTCCTCCCCAGGTGTAGGATTCCACACTTGCCCTTGTTGAACCCCATAAGGTTCCTCTCCATCCTTAGAGAACTCTGAGGCTGCCACCTGCACTTCTCCTCATTCTGAGGGGATTCCTTCCCCAGACAATATACCAGAATCCACGCAAAAGCTGTCTAAATTTTCTGAATTTCCACCTCCATCTCAAAAGCTGTTGGTTAAAACAGCTTCTGCCTCTCAGGAAATAAGCTGTGCAGCCACTGTCATTAGCATTAATGCAATCTTGATTACCAAGCCCTGCCCTGAGGGATGCCTGCTGTTTTTCAATATTTCTGTCACATAATGCCCTATCAGGAAATGCGTGCCTTAATAAACACTTACAATGGCAGTTAAGAATAAGAGATCATACTTCTCGTCTCCCTCAGCCTCACAGATGCATTGCCTATAACCTAATGAAGTTTCTAAAAATCAGGCGGTGCGGTTAGAGATCCTGTCTGGGAGAACTCTCTGGAGTAATGATAAATCATGCCTCTAATGTCCTCATTTGTCTGCAAAAAGTGATGATGCCATTAGTTGGGACAGCTCAATCCCAAAAGTCAAAGCTGCGATAGAAGTCTGAAACATTTTTGGGTGATGAAATTCTCTGCTGTTTAACAGTTATGCTGGTAAAACCAAGCTTAACCTCAGGAGAGGGATGATTAGTAAAGAAGAGATATGCTGTGTCTTTTCCAAATTTGCCAAATCATTTCTTACTGCCCTAATCCCTATGTCAGAAAAATAAAAATAAAAATAGAACTGCTATCCAATTAAGGCTCTGCTAGGAAGGGAAGACCTTTCAGATCGAATTTCCTGCATGCATAGGTAGATGAAATGTGCACCCTGAGGCAGATGAGCAGCTGGACCCCAGCTTGTTTGAGCAGCCTTGTTAACTCATGCTGGTGACACGATGCTCCTCAATCTCCGTTGGCATCACCATGAAAAGAGACGGGGAAAAAAGTCATCCTAGTCATGCTGGTTCATGGCAAGGCAGCTCTGTGAGCAGCACTGCCCTGCACAACCCGCCTGCTCCAACCCATGGCCCTGCAGCCCCACTTCCATCTGCAGCGCACAGCCGCGCTTCCATCTGAAGGTGCAACAAGCCCATTTCCTGCTGTACTCATCATGACCCACGGTGTGCATCTTCCCTGCTAGTAATAAAAGCAATTCGCTTCAGCCGGGCCTCTAAATTATACAGGAATTGTGTTTATAACCATTTCTATTATTTGCATGCTTCTATTAGAGGAATATCGCCGATGAAGAACGCCGTGTTCCTTCACAATTCCGCTTTCAGAGAAGCAAACTTTGAAGGCAATCTCCGAAATATGTAATTTACAAAATTACTGTAATTGATGTGGCTGTTCTATTGAGAGGTGTAGAAGTTCAGGAGCTTCCGATATAAAGCATTTCTGTTTTAAAAATGCTGTCCTCACGTGGTTGGCGGGGTGCAGCTAATGGCTGTCCGGCACCACCAGGCACGCGCAGGGCCGAGCTGTGCTGCTGGTTGAGCTTGTCATCTTCTCATTTGACAAGCAAATGGACTCAATAATTGGCACTAAATACCAATTAGACTGAGCCTTTGTGCTGTCCCAACCCTTCTGGAGGAGGGAGGTTTTACTTGCTGTGCAGTAAAGTGTTACGCTTCAACTGCCTGAGAACAAACAGCTGCTGCAACTGGGGAGAGATCCTGTGCTCAGGTGATGCACGTTTATTTCTCTTACCGAGGAAGCTCAACCTCACAGAGTGCAAAGACCACGCAGACCTCACACACAGTTACATCACTCTCAAATATTTAATGCTTAACCCTTTTTCCTGTATGCTATGAGAGAAGCAGCCAGCATTATGATAAAGGCTGGGAGAGATGTGTGGCACACGCACCACAAACATTGCTGTTTGGTGAAAGGCATTGCACCCTGAGAACCTCAGTGAGCTGCCGTGCTTCTGCTCTCTGTGTTGTCCTACAGATTGCTCACAAACCTCTGCTGTTTGCAATGGCTGTTGTGCATTGACTTGGATAAAATAATTGGCACTATAATTTTATACCTGTCAAAAATCCAATATACACCACTGACTAATTGCTATTTTGTGTGCTCATAAAGGTATAAAATCAATTTAAGTGCTCTGCAAACCAACAAATTCTTCTGTGAGGCTGCGAATGGTAAACAGCGTTATGTTCACTACTGCCAGCCTTCAGTCTGGGGGGTAAATTGCTGCATCATACCTAATCTTATAACAATTTTGAGACCAATCTGGCAAAGCACTCTAACTGCCTTTGTACCGGTGAGACCCTTGAAACCTGTGTGTGTGAGCTGGGGCTGTATCTCCCATGGCTCACATGGAGCAGCTCCCTCCATCACAGCAGAGGACAGATCTGGTGGGCAATGGCGTTCCCTCTTCTTCCCATGCTCTGCAGCATCCCTACACCACCCCCATCACAACAAGGAACAAAGCTGCTCAGAAAACATCTTCCATTAATGCCACTTCTAGCAGAGCCCGGAATGAAGTGAGTGAAGCTTGAAGTGCTACCATCAAATTTCATGTCTGAGTATTTGAAAAAACAATGCATCCTTTCTAATTTTACAGCGTGTTTGGGCAGAATGTTTTCTGCCGTGAAAATGACATTTCCAGTGCTACTGGCTGTGGGTTTTATTGACAACTGAAGTGGATTCAAGAAATAAAGGTAAAGAAAAATAGTTACAAACAGAAATAAAAATGTTATTATCAACAGGTAGAAAGAGAAAGGATGCCATTCCCTGCAGGAAATGGCTGCACCGTGCAGCTGAGCCAGCACAGATTTCCACAGCTTGCAATGGCTGTTTTGCAATAACACAAACAAGCAAGGGCACTAATGATCTAATGGCCGAGGGAAATAAACCTTGTGTGCTTTCTTATGTAGGCTTCTGCTGTAGCACTGAGGTATCACACGTCCGACAGAAGCTGGATGGCTGGACGAGGTGATCTCAGAGGTCTTTTCCAACTTAATGACTGGTCCCAGTGGAACACCACTGCCTTCCCTGCCCTTAGCGCTCAGTAATCTCTCCTCTTTGTATTTGCTGTCTTAATACATTTAAGCGATGAATCCATAACGTGACAAAGGCAGCATGAGAACAGACTTACAGCTTAGTTTTAATGAGTGTCAGCATGGCAGGCCAGCCTCCCACCGGCACTTGGTTTCCCAGAGCACATCCATGGAAATGAGCTCTTTGTCACCAGCCCGGCCCGTGTTCTAACGAAGCCGTTAACGTGTGAGTACATCAGGTGTGGGGAGCTGCCTCCTCCCATCCGCAGTGAAGCCTTTCCCCCTATTTTGCTAACAAATTAGATTAGTTGAGAGTAAAAATTTAATTACTGTCATGCGCCATCCCTCTATTTGTGATCAAAGGAGTGTGTCTCCATCAGCTTTGTAGTCCCTTTTTCTCCTGAAACGGGAGAGGAGGAAGATCACCCAAGCTGAGCACCAGAACAGATTTATAATTATCATTGCCTCCAAGCAAAACGATCCCAGGGGGAAAAAGCAGCAAAACTCACAGAGGTGCTGCCACATCCCATCT